AAGTGTCTTGCCACTAAGATATACCCCGCAGGCCTGTGTATGTTTGAAAAACAAAACAAACAAACAAAAAACCCAAAAAACCCCCAAATCATACCAACTTTTCTGTGTAGAACAAATAGCACTTATAAAATAGATGTATTGAAAGATAGACTTTGGGAACCAGCAAAGTGAGAAGAGGAAAAATGTAGCTTAAAAAAATGAGACTAAAGCTGGTTGTGGTGGTGCACACCTGTAGTCCCAGCACTTGGGAGGCAGAGGCAGGTGAATCTCTGTGAGTTCAAGGCCAGCCTGGTCTACATAGTGAGTTCCAGGAGAGCTGGGGCCACAGAAAGACCCTGCTTCAAAAAGACAACAACAACAACAACAAATTAGACTAAAGATAACACATCAGACACTGAAGAAAAAAATAGTGAAAATCCACTCTTGGTGGAGTTGTAGCAGGCTGACCTTGCTCCATGAGGGCTCTGATGACCTCACTGTGCTGCTCCTGTGGCAGTATCTGAATGAAACTTGGTTTTAAAACTAAATTTAGAAAAATGTAGGACTTGAAGAAGAAATGAGATCCAGCAAAGTTTGCCAGAGAAGCATATGTATAGAATTTTACTTTGTAAGCTCCTTAGAGAGTTATGTCAGCCCTAAGTAAAAGAGAGATTGGTTGTTGTTACTGTTTTTAAATAGAGATTGATAACCAGGTAATTGAAATTAAGGGCTTGACCTGTAGCTTGTATACAGAGTCTCTGTCCCAAGTTTTCTGCTAAGGCCCCTTGACCCTTAAACCTTTGTCTTTGGCTTTGTTTCTGGTAGCTGTTTTATTATTATTATTTTTTTTACAGCATTTTGCAATGCAAACACTATCTCTTGGTACAGTTCAGAAGTCAATGATTGCGAATTCTTGTTTCTAAACCCATATCTCTATCTTCTTTGTGGTTTAATTATCCTTAGTGTCTCCCCCAGGAAATAAGATCTTAAGTCTTCCAAGAAAGGAATTCAGGCTTGCGAGGGAGAGAAGTGAAACCTCAAGCCACCATGAGAGGAGGGTTTCCTGAGGGAGGCTTCTGGAAGAGGCACGCCTTCTCTCTGGCTAGATGATGCACATGTGGCATAGGGAAATCTGACTTGTGTGGTTTACCTCTTGAGTTCAGAATTGACTAAAAATCACTTAGCTTGACTAAAGAGGTCGCAAGTGGTTATAAGTTCTAAACTAGATTTTATTGAATGAGTAGGTGAGATATGTAAAGCAGGAATTGCTTATGTTTGCTTTATATCCAAGTACAATAATAGAGGTATGAGAGTAATCTTAATTTTTAAAGGATTAAGGCTCCCCGTTCCTTCACTTCTCACTGATTCTTACTCCTTTGAATACCTAGCTGAGAATTGTAATCATTTTAGAAGTTTTGACTGTTAAATAGAATGTATGTGATTTTTTTTTAAGCCTTAACATTTTAAAGTATCTTTTAAAATTATGTTGTCTGTTCCTTAATATTTTAGTTAGGTTAAAAAATGC